CGGACAGCATAGGAAAAGTAGGGGTGGACCCTAATGGAATCTCCAGTCTATGCGCCTGTCGGTGAAAAGCCGAGAGTGTTTTTAAGTCACTAAGAAGAACTAGGATGTCAGACCATTACCCCACATGGCAACTTCAATGATACGCTATATTCGCACATCGTGAATATTTCCCGCAGAGAAGGTGGGGGAGGTCCGGATCCCGTCTTACCATACTGGTGGGAGCAGTTGGAAAGTGCTAAGACGGCAATTCGGCAGCTCTGTTTATAGTGCCTAATTCTTGGTCATAGCATGAGTCAGCTTTATTTTACGTTCGATGCCGTAGGTCAATTATATGGTGGGGTGCAAAGTATAAGATTAACGAAACGAACAAGGGTAGTGCTTTTGGACGCAACGACACAGTGCCCCATGATCCATTCTTGGTCATGATGGCACGGTATACAGCAGTTGACGTGTCATGGGCGGTGGGAGTTCGGGGAGACGGCCGAAGTGCGCAGTGGAGGAATCTAAAATTGGTATCCATAGCAGCACATGACATGTTCAGTCAATACTTGAGCGGTATAATGCGCCGCAAGGGTAGGCTCTCATTAGCTTACGATTGTGTAGGAATTCAGTATGGGAGGGCACCTTGTCAATCGCGACTTGCGCCTTAGAAACGGTAGCCTAAACGGCTAGGTAGCGCCTCGGTAAACATCTAACAGAGAATTCATAGCCCCTTTCTCCACCCTTTTATCGAGAAGTTTCCAAGCGGCTGTTGTAGACTGAATTACGGGGCCTAGGAGGCTATCTACTTAGCAGTACCTCGTTCATTTATGCATGTATTTAGCACTAGGCCCCCTAGTAGTTGCCGTAATCCTGAACTGACTCCACATTCAACCTGGTTACAAGTGAGCTTGTGCTGCGCCTTGCAGCCACTGATTTGCGTTAGATCCAGGGCTGGTATAATGGGTACAAGCTTTATGTAGAGTGACGTAATAGATAAGCACTTAACCCGACCTAACTTCGTGCGCAAGAAGCCAACGAGATCCATACTGGATGAAGGTCTGTTGCTAAGAGAGTACGGGATCTCGTCGCCACTCGTATCCGGCCTGCACCTGTGAAACATTGGCTAATCCTAATTATAAGGTAACATCAGACCCGAGTTGTATATCTCTTGGGTAGATCGTTGTTAATGAAACTGTCTATCCGACCCGTGTGAAAGAAATCGCGCTCAATCCCTGAGCGCTCTGGACAGGTGCCCATTGGACATGCGGTCATCAATAGTGTGCAAAAGGTGCTTTTCAGCTTGTTGCCCCTAGGCCGACTGACTAAGACAGACTGACATCATTGAAAAATTACGAGAGAACGTGGATAGTGCACTCTAATATCCCTCTTAAACCTATAGTTTTTGGACGGTTGCAGGTCAGGGAACAATCCTTAACCATTCCCCCCTGTTCCGTGACAACTCGAAATCTTCGGCCATGTGACAACATCCACACTAGAGTTGAGCGTCCTGCGAACGCACCTTCATCAAAATTTAGGTCTTCCTGTTTTGCAGAGGTCCAGAGAACTATACATTCGTGTCTCTCACTCGTATTTTCTAAAAACGATTTAGATCGCGTTGGTCAGTCGTTCACCGGGTTAAGATCTTAGCGCTGGCGCCGAGTTAAATTGAAGACATTGATTCCCGGCAGGTAACCGGCTGATCAATCACCTCGACTGTAATACTTTAGAGAGGGTTACATCTGTTACCGAGCGACTAGTTGGAATCAGAGGTCCTTCATATGTGCCGCACAGCGTTGTGTTATAGTGACCTGGTACTCCTCCTGGGCACATACGAAGCATGCTTCGATTTCTTACGTGCCAACGACTTTCCCTCGCAACCGGTGTACTACGTTGTCGTAGAGACGCCAGTGCTTCTTGCGTATTCATCTCGTAGACAAGGCGGCCGTATTATTAATAGCTGTCAAAGTTGAATAAAGGCTAACTACCTAACTGGGATATTGCCTCAGTGGGGGCCATGCGCGGTCAAAGTAGGATTAACGCGTACATAGAAAGACGAAACGTGCAGGACTATTGAATTTACGGTGTCGGATACCACGCCTTGAGGCGCACGAAGCACGTGCAGTGCTAAGTGATTGGGTAGTTACCAAAATATTCGATGGTTGGGCCTTTAGTGTCAGCACGTGATTACCTTGTGTCCCGCTAAACGAGCAACATGTGCACAGGCCACGATATTATGGATTGCAGGTTAGCGAAAGATAAACCGTGAGGCCACAGTAAGATATGATCGTCACATGCTTTAGGGTGAAAAGTCGGGCGGCCGGCTAGCTCTGCGAGCTATACACATACCTGACGTAGTAAGGTAAGTACGTCGGTTGTGATTGCCCGTGGGGATGAGAAAACTATCCGACTACAACTCCGTTGTCCCATACGGCGCTCCATGTTTCTGACAAGCGAGGATGGTAGGATGTATTCCGGAGCTAACGAATAAATGTCAAAAGTCCTAATCAGGTCTGGATGTTGAACTGCTCGAATACTCGCGGAAAATTGTCGAAAATGTATTCGCTAATGAACTGTAGATGATTAGCGTCACCGGGCGGCGCTCGAGGAATTCGCCCCTCTTCACTTAGCGCTACGACCCGACGACAGAGCCGTTCCTTCGGCGCTGTTTAATGCCCTGGAACCCCTGGCACCTAAAAGACAGGTGTGTATGCTACTTAGTTTATGGCTGATGCTTAGGCGGGAAACAAACTACTCAAAGTGGGACCCCCTGATCCAAGTCTCGAGCCACCCATACCGCACTAGTTGGTCTTATACCTTGTACTTTATGTTGACCTACATGTTAAATGGGCCGTTTTGCAGGCCCCGCTGCGACATGTTGTGCGAAGGTTATAACTACTGGGTACTGTGTCTCAATCGTATACCCCTGCCCCGCGGTCAGTGCGGCACGATTTCCATCTTAAGAACAGTCATTCATTGTGAAGTTTGCGGACGCACGATATGTGCAGTCCAGTTAGGGGCATAGTGCTAATACTCCTCCGAACGTGGACGGTGCGACCAAGCATATATTATCGGGAGAAGGAGGGCAACACCAAAGAGCCACATCCTATGGGATTCCCCGGCCTTAGCTAGCCAGAAATGCTCCATTTTAACGAATAATGGATGGAATACTGATAACATGTATCGCTTTGTTTGCACTTGAGACCTATAAATCGTTTCCCTATGGACGAAATACCTCCCTTGGGGTGAATTGGATCTAGCTACAAAAGGGGCTTAATACGGCACTGAATACACCTAGGTTCTCCGCAGACGTCTAACGCTCACGCCCAGTCCCAGCGTCTTAACCGCTTCCTGCTTCGGTCCAGGTCCAAGTTGTATTAGTGGCGATGGCCACTCGTGAGCAGTTTCTGGGTGTCGACGCGCAATGTGGATTGACAACGGTCAATACCGTAGAGGATGTGTTCTGGGGATATTGTTACTACGCGTTTAGGCTGGACTACACACCATATACTTTAAAGAGGGTATCTCTAAGAACCGATTTGCGTTCGAGACGGCATACGACCGTCCATTCGTTTCTTGTGTCCAGTTCCCAAATGCTGCGAGCGCGGGAGAAGTG